TTAAAAGGGTGAATTCTCATAGGTATTCTTTGCTTTCACAGGACATTTTCACCTTCTAAGGATTCAGTCAAGACTTCTTGATTTGGAGGATATGGACCTAGATCAAAGCACCAAAGCAAGAAGTTGAAGGCCTAGGAAAACAAGAGGATCAGATTGGGCTTCCAGAAATAAGATCAGGTTTTAACAACCTTTGGCCAAGTTGGCTGAAAATTTGAATTATCAACTCTGAAATGAAATTATGTTAAAATGTTGCAGTTTTTCTTAGAACTTCTATGTATATTAACGTAGCATGTGTGTCAAAAATTCTCTTCCGTATACATGTCAGTTTTATATATTTGCCCATCAGCTCTATCTAAATATGCTTGTTCATGGTTATATTGGTAATAGTGATCTGTAGAAAGAACAGACTATTTTCTCTCTTTCATACCAGCAATCAAAACAGAAGACTTTTGTGACCTCTGGTCTCCAAAAAGTACGCGGGGGATTTCTCCCACTCAACAAGGAGTCAAGCAATTCTATGGATTCTGCAGCAGTGGACATGAGCTAGGTGTCCTTTAATCACATCTAATATGTTACTGTCTACCTTGAGATAGTTACAGCATCATTGTGTGGGCAGGATTTTGATTAAATCATTGGTCATTGGTGGTCATCTTAACCTTTAGCCCCTCTTTCCCTGTCTTCTCTCAGAAGGAGAGTTATAGGAGCTGAGCCAGGAAATGTGAATGAAAGTCAACAGGTGTATGTATACGTTGGTGTATTACACAGACACACACACACATATATATAATAATGTCACTCATGGAGCTGGAAATTTGAATCTAAATGATAATATTGGCAGTGCCTGTAGCTCAGTGGTTAGGGTATGTAAGAGTAAGACGTCCACACGCACTCCTCGCACGGCCACTAAGATGCTACACTAGTATCCAGAAGCAACACCCCAAATAGTTCCTCTGCTGTCCTTCGCCTCTCCGCTCCCCTCCATTCCCCGCCCCCTTTCCTTTCTCCAGCCTCTTCTCCCCTCAGTGACCCCAGGGCCCGCCCCTCTCCCTTGGAAAATCGTTGCCAACAGACAATTAGAGGACTCGGTGAACCTAGCGCCTAGCACAGACTCGGCCCCGCCACTTCTCCGGGGCCTCTAAGTTTGAATTGTTGGCGCCATCACTTCCTTCCT